CAGCAGGAAAGACCTGGGGATTACAGAGGATGAGAAGCTGGATATGAGTTAACAGTGTGCCCTTGTAGCCAAGAAGGCTAATGGCATATTAGGGTGCATTAGGAGCATTGCCAGCAGATCTAGAGAAGTGATTATTCCCCTTTATTCAGCACTGTTGATGCCATATCTGGAGTATTGCATCCGGTTCTGGGCTCCCCACTACAGAAAGGATGTGGATGCATTGGAGAGGGTCTAGCGGAGGGCAACCAAAATGATTAAGGGGCAGGAGCACATGACCTATGAGGAGAGGCTGCGTGATTTGGACTTATTCAGTCTGCAGAAGAGAAGAACGAGGGGAGATTTGAGAGCAGCCTTCAACTTCCTGAAGGGAGGTTCCAAAGAGGATGGAGAGAGGCTGTGCTCAGTGTCAGAACAAGGAGCAATGGACTCATGTTGCAGTGGGGGAGGTCGAGGTTGGATATTGGGAAAAGCTATTTCTCTAGGAGGGTGGTGAAGCACTGGAATGGGTTCCCTAGAGAGCTGGTGGAGTCTCCATCCCTAGAGGTTTTTAAGTCCTGGCTTGACAAAGCCCTGGCTGGGATGATTTAGTTAGGTTTGGTCCTGCTTTGGGCAGGGGGCTGGACTTGATGACCTCCTGAGGTCTCTTCCAGCTCTAGGATTCTATGATTCCAGTCATTTTACAATATCAGCCTACTACGTCATTGCATCAGACTGCTCGCATATGAAACCTGTGCATGTTTCACTAACAAAAAAAGCACATTTTAAGTGCTTTGTGCTACAAATTGGACTATGCAATCTTCTTCTGTTAATGGCAATTGTACACCAAACTACCTCACAACAACCTACAGTTTCCACTCAGTATCAATGAAATATCATGAAACGGATACTGTGGAACCGAACCAAAAAAATCTGTTGTTCGAATAGCTCTGATTTCTATTCTTTAATGGGAAATAATACAATAGTCTGAGATCAGGCAGCAGAGATGAAATCGCTTGACAATATCTAGACAATGCTCAGGTAAGGCCTCTGAAACAGAAGAAACTCAGGAAGAATTAAATGGGACACACTGCTTATGTTCTTTTTCTTCCTTCCTTAACTAGGATAGACCTTGATAGACTTTGACAGACCTTGACAACACAATACTTTTATGCGCTATACATCTATGTTACTTATTATAAGCATGAGTATGTATACATGGAGAGGTGATACGCGACTGAAGAGTTGGTGAAATAACAAATCTGGGCCCCGATAGTGCAAGCTTGCCATATATGCAGATTCCTGAACCTCTGGAGCCCTATTGACTTTAGTGGGGCCATGAGGTACAACAAGGATTCACAAGTTGATGCAGCATACAACGTTTAGTCCTAGAACAGTCAAAATATGTAAAATATGCCACAAACCCCGCCCCCCCCCCAAAAAAGAAAAAAAAGTACTGTTAAGGTATTTTCTTTCTATTGAAGACGACAAATGCTGGCACAACTTTTGTTTTGCAGAATGGCCTTTTTCTTATTGTTCTTACTGATTTATTTTAAGGGTAGATGACAGTTTTACAATGGGAATGTATTTTCTCTTCCTGGACTACAGTGATTTTGTTTGATCTTGTGAAAAGAGAACGTGTAAAAGCTGTGGATACTATTAATAGCCACAATTTCTAAGTTGTCTGAATAATGCTTACTGTATTTCTGGATCTATGTATTAGAACTGTATGGCTTCATCACTACAAGATGAACCTCTCTAATCCAGCACCCTGGGGACCTTACCAATGCCAAACCAGAGTTTTCCAGACTATGGAAGGTCAATATTGTCTAGCAGCTTAACCAACACTTCCACTGCTTGGTGAGCTCTTAGAAGACATTTATGGGCAAATTAGAGCTAAACAACAGCACAGAGCACTAAGAGCCGGGACCAGTGGCTGACAACAAACTTTATGGGACCAGGGGCATCCTGACCACACCCACG